GTATGTGGCTCATGGCAAAGAGTCCCTGGGTTCAATCCCTGGTTTTTATATATAATATTAATTTTTATATATGTCAATTGTTTATTTCTGGAATTTTCCAATTAATCTTGACAGGCTGCAGATCAAGCAGGGTAAGCAAGGCCTAAAAAAGAAGGGATGACTATTACCATTTTAAATAGGGTAGTTAGGAAAGGCTTCACTGAGATGGCATTTGAGTAAAAATCAGATGAAGGAGTATGAATAATTTAGCAGAATAGCATCTCCAGCAAAGTGTGAGATTTTGCAAAAGGTCTGAGACAGAGGGATGCCTCCAGTGTTAGAATAACTAGAGAAAGGTCTCTGGGGGGTTGGAGAGAGAATAGTACGTGAGTTGAAATTAGAAAAGGGTAGAGATGTTAGTATTATAGATTACATAAATAGCAGGGCTGGGTTGTGGCTCAGTGGTAGAGCACTTGCCTAGCATGTGTGAGGCCCTGGGTTCCAGTCTCAGACCACATATAAATAAATAAAATAAAGATCCATTAACAACTGAAAAAAAAAAATTTTTAAAGGGTTACATAAATAGCTTTGGCTTTTGCTCAGTGAAATGGAGAGTCGAATTTTGAATAGAGGAGGGATTGAATCCAAGAATACTCTTACTGAGCTACATATCCCTACCTCTCTATATTTTATTTTGAGACAGTCTTGCTAAATTTCCCAGGCTGGCCTCCAACTTGGGATCCTTCTGCCTCAGCCTCCCAAATCACTTGGATTACAGGTATACACCCTAGCTGGCTTCAAACATTTTTTGGGGGGGTTCTAATTTTTAAATGGGTTCATAATATGTGTATATTTATGGGTTCATAATATCATATGTATATATGTGTATACTTTACATTGGTATATATTTGTGTGTGTGTGTGTGTATAAAATGAATTAATTTCCAGGGTTTTGAGTGTTGGGGAGTTTGTTTTCTATTTTGGTTTTGCTCCAAAAATAGTGCTTCCACAAACTTCCTTATGAGGAAACTGAATGGGTAGCTGAATCATTGTGTGTTGACCTTAACATTAACACTTAGGCAAGAGTACTGTCAACACTCAATACCATCTCCATTTTATTTCATTTTATTTATTTATTTTATGTTACTGGCAATGGAACCCAGGAGTGCTGTACTACTGAGCTACATCCCAGTCCCTTTTTTTAGTTTTTTGTATTGTTTTATTTGGGGGGTACCAGGGATTGAACTCAGAGGCACTAACCACTGAGCCACATCCCCAGCCCCCCCCTTTTTTTTGTATTTTATTTAGAGACAAGGTATCAGTGACTTGCTTAGCACTTCACTTTTGTTGAGGCTGGCTTTGAACTCACAATACTCCTTCCTCAGCCTCCTGAGCCACTGAGATTATAGGTATGCACCACCGCACTGAGCTCTGGTTTATTTTTGAGATAAGGTCTTGCTAAATTCCCCAGGCTGACCTTGAACTTGTGATCCTCCTGTCTCAGTCTCTTGAATAGCTAGGATTACAGGTGTGGTGCATTGCACCCAGCTCCATTCCCATTTCATAATTAAGAAAGCAGAAATATGGAGACTTATATACAGCAAGTAGTTCATAGACTACGACGATATTGCCATTTTTAAAAAATATTTTTGGTTGTAGGTGGACACAATATACTTACTTGAATTTATGTGGTGCTAAGGATTGAACCCATGCCTCACACATGCTAGGCAAGCACTCTACCACTGAGCTACAACACCAGTCCAACATTGCCATTTCTGTAGTGCAACTGCCTACAGGTTTTCTGTCCTTCTGTGGCACAAATTTATGAAATACATGACTCAACTTAGGTACATGTGGGAGCTTGGATAGGTCATTCATTATATCAATCAAGTTTCAGTTTTTTTCCTCTTTTTTTTTTTTAATGATACCAGAGATTGAACTCAGGGGTGCTTAACCACTGGGCCACAACTCCAGTTCTATTTATTTATTTATTGTACCAGAGATTGAACCCAGGGGCCACTAAGCCACATCTACAGCCTTTTGTTTGTCTGTTTTTTAAGACAGGTTCTTATTGAGGTTTTGGGGGCCTCAGTAAGTTGCTGAGTCTGGCTTTGAACTTGCAAGCCTCTTGCCTCAGCCTCCAAAATCACTGGGATTACAAGTGTGTTATCCTGGCACACAGTTCTTTCATCTTAAATGAAAATCTCACAAGAAAATCTCATTGAGATTTAAAATGATTTAATGTCTGCCAAAATGTCTGCTTTGTGATAAAAGTGCTGTGTGAAGTTCAGAGCTTTTCTTTTCTTCCTTTTGGCAGTGCTGGGGATCAAACCTAGGACCTTGTGTATGCTAAGCAAGGTTTCTACCACTGAGCTACATGCCCAGCCCCTTATGAACACTTTATATGTGACAAAACCAGGCGCTTAATAATAATTTTTATTTTATAACCGACATTGATAAATCATAAGCTTTGCAATACCACAACAAGTCACAAGAGGGGGTTCAATTATGCTTTTTTTTTTTCAGTAGCAGGTCATTTAACAAATACTCTGGGACACTTACCAGGTGAAAATCCCTAAGATTACCACAATTTTCTCTTCTCTCTTCTCCCTCCTCCTCCTTCTCCTCCTCCTCCTCCCCTTCCTCCTCCTCCTCCTCCTCCTCCTCCTCCTTTTTTCTTTTTTCTTTTTTCTTTTTCCAGTGCTGAGATTGAAACCCAGGCCTCATACTTGGGTAGGTAAGCACTCTACCCCTGAGCTACACCCCCAACTATTTTGTCAGAATTTTTACCTTATTTTTTTGATACACCCACAGGCCACAACAGAAATAAGGATTGAACTCAGGGGCATTTCACCACTAAGTTACATCCTCAGCATTTTAAAAAAGAGGGGCGGGGGCGGATGGACAAAGTCTCCATTAGGTTGCTTAGGGCTGTTCTAAATTGCTTAACTGGTCTCAGCCTCCCTAGTTGCTGGGGTTACATGTGTGTACCACCACATCTGGCTTTTGTTAGAATATCTGAAGTGCTCAAGTGAGCAACTCTACTTTTATTTATTTACTTACTTACTTATTTATTTTGGATGCTGGGAATTGAACCCAGGGTCACTCTACCACTGAGCTATCTTACCAGTCATTTTTGCTTTATTTTATTTTATTTATTAATTGAAACAGGGTCTCACTAAATTGCTTAGGGCCTTACTAAATTGCTGAGGTTGTTTTTGTTGTTGTTGTTGTTGTTGTTTTGTGTGTGTGTGGTTTCAAATTTTTATTTTTGTTTGTTGGGGGCTGTTTTTGATAATGAGGATTGAACCGAGGGGCACTTAATCCTTGAGTCACATCCCCAGCCATTTTTTATATTTTATTTAGAGACAGGATCTCAGTAAATTGCTTAGGCCCCCACTAAATTGCTGAGGCTGGCTTTGAACTTGGGATCCTACTTCCTTAGCTTCTGAGATTGCAGGAATGTGCTGCCAAGCTAGGCAACCTGAGACTCCTCTTGAAATCCTCTTGCCTCAGCTTCCAGAGTCGCTGGAATTACAGATGTGTGCCATAACTCTGACCTCGGTCCTTTTTTTATTTTTAATTTTTTTAAATTTTGAGGAAAGCTGTCTAAATTGCTGAGACTGGCCTTGAACTTGTGGTCAAATTGCTAGGATCACAGACATGTGCCACCATGCCCAGCAAAGGTCTGACATTTATATATTATTTTACATGCATCAAATATGGTTCTTGGACTTGGGACAGTGGCACACACCTATAAGCCTTGTGACTTGGGAGGTTGAGACAGGAGGGTAGCAAGTTCAAAGCCAGCCTCAGAAATTCAGCAAGTCCCTCAATGACTTAGTGATACCCTCTCTCAAAATAAAAAGGATTGAAAATGTAGCTCACTGGTAAAAGTCCCTAGGTTCAGTTCCCAGTATCACTTGTTACTATCATTATTATTATTGGACTGTGGATATAGTACAGTGGTGAGTGCTTGCCTAGCATGCATGAGGCCCTGGGTTTGATCCCCAGCATCACACACATAAAAATGGTTCTTAGTGCTTTTGTATACATTAATTTATTTCATCATCCCAACAACCCTATGGGGTAAGTACTATTTTTCTATTCTTATCATTTTTTCACCTTGAACCCAAAGTGAATTGTAGCCTTGAGCTATATCCCAGCTCTTTTATTTTTTATTCTGAGATATGGTCTCACTAAATTGCCCAGGCTGGCCTCCAACTTGCAGTCCTCCTGCCTCAGCCTCTCATGTGGCTGGGATTACAGGCATGCACCACCTCAGGCCAACTTGTCACTTTCATCTGCCAAATTTCTCATTTACTCTCCCAAATCCAAAACAAAAACCAACTATCCCAGAAATCTTTCCTAAATATCCCAGGTAAAATAGGAGAAATAATATATATATATATTTTTTTTTTTTTTTTTTTTGCTTTTCCCTTGATTGTGTATTATTTCAGAGCAGGAATATATTTTAAGCATTTTAATTCCTACCTTTTTCTGATGCTCTGCCATTGAGCATAGTCTATAGTCTGATAAGGGGATGTAAGTACTAAGCCAACTGTGGAGAAAATACCTATGTCTCAACTAGCCTTTCATGGGAAAGATTCGCTTGGAAATTACTTGCTTCATTCATTTATTCATTCCTCATGGTGAAATGTTAGTCTGCTTTGTTTTTTGTCTTGTTTGTTTTTTGTTTTGGTTTTGTTTTGTTTTTTTAAAGAGAGAGAGAGAATTTTTAATATTTATTTTTTAGTTTTTGGTGGTCACAACATCTTTATTTTATTTTTTATGTGGTGCAGAGGATTGAACCCAGTGTCCCGCGCATGCCAGGTGAGCGTGTAACCGCTTGAGCCACCTCCTCAGCCTGTCTTGTTTGTTTTTGAGGTGTTGTGGAACCTAGGGCCTGCTAGGCAAGTGCTCTACTGCTGAGCGATACCGCACCTGTCATGCAGAGGGCAAGACCCAGGCCAAGGAAGCCAGGTTCAGAGATCTAGCAGTTGAAAGAAGATGAGAGGCATGGTAGGAATATTGGCCATTCTTTATTTGGAAGTGGCAGTAGCCTCTACCCAGCCCCTGAGCCATTTTCATAGGCCTTTTTTTTATACACAGGCCAAACAAAGAAGGCACATAGCTAATGGGTTACAGAAGTGGGTACATGCTAACAAGTGAATGTTCATGAACTTGAGTACATAGGCTGAATCAGAGTATTTCTGACCTGACTACACACTGACCATGACATAGCTGATTCATGGCCTTGGCTACACACTAAAAGCATACCATAGCTCCAGAAGCCTTGGCAAGGGAGCCTAACTATAACCACTCTGGTCCTGCCCCAACACCACCCCTTTAAGATTCCTCACCGAACAATCTAAGTATCTGAAATCTTCTGCAATGACCCCTTAGTGAGGAGGACAGAGCCCTGCACCCATAGGCCACAACAGAAATACACATTATAACAACATACAAACAAAAACAAGTCCCATCACCTAGGATTAATAAAAGCCATTGCCATCCCATATTGAGTGGCAATAAAAGTCTTTCCCTGTCACATCTAGCTGTCCAGTGATAGTCTGGATTTGCTAGGTAGTCCAGCAGCAGAACTCCCAGGCACTTCGGTGCATACCCAGCAGGCAGAGGTGTTTGCTGCTCTGGTGTAGGCATGTGCCCAGTCCACAGTGGTGTTAGCAAGGACACACCTATAGACAAAAACACAAAGCAGTTCCGGGCACTAGCACAGGCAAGTCATGTCCATCAGGGAGGATGCACGCCAGCTCTGAATCCCAAGAAAGTACAGTGGCTGTTTGTGGCAGCTTCCCTGCTGTATAGTGGTCCCATACTCACACAACTTGGTCCTGAACTTCAGCAGGCTCTATGTGCACCACTACCGGGAACTCATAATTGGCCAAGTGGAAATACCAAATGTGCCCTCTACAATCTGTGTCCCAGCCAGGCACAGTGGCACACGCCTGTAATGATTCCAGTGGCTTGGGAGCCTGAGGTAGGAGGATTGCAAGTTGAAAGTCAGCCTCAACAACTTAGCAAGGACTTATGTAGGTCTCTAAATAAAATATAAGAAAAGGGCTGGGTATGTGGCTCAGTGGTTAAGCACTCAGTGGTTCAATCCCCAGTACCAAATAATAATAATAACTATTATTATTATTATTATTATTATTATGTCCCTTCTGCAGGACCCGGCCAAGTCATGTTTCGGGGAGAGCAATTCACTAGTCCCCTATGGTGTCACAAGGAGATCACGTGCCAAGCCTCTTCCCCTTAGGGCTAAAAGGGCTACCCATCAAAGGAGGGGGGCTCTTGGTCGAGGGTCTCACCCACGCCACAGTTTGCCCTGTTCAATCCAGTGGGAGCAGGTAGAGAACATCCCCTTGCTTCTCAAACCCAGGCTTAAGTCCACATCCTCTGCTGTCACCTGGACCTGTATTGGGCCCTGTGCAGTGCAGCAAAGCCTTCACAGGAGCTGGTCCCCCTCGCTGGAGACACACATTCAGAGCTCTCACAACTGCCCAGACGCTGTGCCCACCTGTTCCTGGCAGGTGGGTCGACTGCTGTTCTGAGTCCAGCAGACTGTGGGTGGCCTGGGACTCACAGCTTCCATTGAATCTGTAACTGAGTTGCCCATTGCTGCACATCGTGACCTGGGAAATGGGTCCTTTGATCACTCTCTATTGTAATGGGCCAGCCATACAAGGCTGTCAACCCAGCCAGGGTGCAAATAGTAGTACTCTGGTCACTGGACCACTGGGCCAGGCAAACAACAAGGCTGCAGCTTGTCCACTACTGTCAAGGCAAATGTGGCCCCTTCAGAAAGGTGAAGGGCCAATGTAGTCAACCTGCCATCATGTCAAAGGGATGCGTCCACACATTACCTGACCACCTCTGGCTCCAAGTCATTGGTGGTGTGGGCATTGCTGAGCACAAACCACATGTGCCTGGCAGGCCCCTACCAGGGCATCCCATGTTAGAGGCAGAGCCCAATGTTTGACTACAAGCCACCTGCATGCTGTAGACATGATGCAGCTGCCACCACACCCTGGCCCAAGCCTCTGCTCCATCATTCCCTGGGCTAGTCAGGGGGCGTGGCCAGGGCCATGTCCTACAGTTATCTCCTTCTCATGGCCTGTGGCCCCAAGGTCCTGCCCAATGGCTTGACCCCACAAAGGCCAATGCCCTACCATCCAATTCTCTACTTCCCAGGTAGTCACCCACAGAGTTAACCCCTCAAACAGACCAGCTGACTGGACAGATAATCAGGGGTCCTGGTTCCTGCAGTGCCACAAAACTCAGCCCTCTAGCGGCTCTGTTCATTCCCGCATCATGCCACAAGGTGTCAGTAGAGGGCTGTGAAGCAACAGCTGTCCCATGGGCAGAGGGCCTTGTACTGGACCCCTCAGTGCTCCAAGCACTGTGGCCCACAGGGCTGGCCCTTCCTTAAAGGGCATGACTCTGTCAGCTCAAGCTCATCAACACGGTCTGGTGCTTCCTCAGGTGCATACTGCAGCAGCCCTGGAACTTGTTGAAGTTCATGGGACAGAGGACTAGTGGACAAAGCTCTCCTGTGTTCTAAATATGCCCCCTGTTTCACTAGAGCAGGCATCTGGACTATGCCTGTCCTTGGGGTGACTGCCCAGTTCCACACCTCTCCTCTCAAAGGATTTGTGGTAGGCACCAAACCCTCAGCAGCACCAGTAATGGCCTCCATGGCCACCAGGCTACACACAGGGCTGCAAGCTGCTTCTTCATCAGGGTGCAGAGATCCTCTGCACTCTTCACTACTGTGACGGAAACCTACTGGTCTTCACAGCCGCTCCTGCCACTGCCACAGGCCCCACCCCAAACCCTCCTGGGTTACATGAATATCTAGCTCAAAGGGGTGAGCGGGGTCTACCACTGCAGGACCTGAGCTTGCTGAGTGGCCCTCTTCGTGGCCTGAAAGGCCAACTCAGCACTTCACTCCAGTCCCCCAGTGCCCCTTTCTTCACTAGAGCATACAGGGGATGACACAACAGGGCTACATGGGACTGAAAGCCCACCAGTATCCCAATGAGCCCACAGAGGTTTGCAATTGTGCAACTGTTGTTGGTCATATGCCTGGATTTTCTCAAAAGCTTCTGGCACAATTCTTTTTTTTTTTGGTACTGAGAATCAAACCCATGGGTGCTAACCACTGAGGCACATCCCCAGCCCTATTTTTATTTTATTTAGAGACAGGGTCTCACTGAGTTGCTTAGTGCCTTGCAGTTGCTGAGGCTGGCTTTAAACTCGCTATCCTCCTGCCTCAACCTCCAGAGCTGCCCGGATTACAGGCATGCGCCACCGTGCCTGACTTCTGGCACAGCTTTCATCTTACCCAACCAAAAAACACCCAAGAACGTAACCAAGAAGCCAGGCCCCTGCACCTTGGCAGTGTTTACTACCAGCCACATGTCTTCAAATGGGCCACTAAGGTCGGGGATGCAAGCTCTAAATTCGTATAAGACAGTCAGAAGTCAACGAAGCACCATCAGAATAATGAAACGTGCAGTAGGTGGCTGAGTCCACTGGATCAGGTCACTGGCCACCAAACCATGGCATGTGGTCAGGCTATGCAAATAACCTTGTGGCAACACTTGAAATGTCCTCTCAGCCTTTCCATGTGAAAGAAAACTGCTCCTGGCTCCCTGGGGCCAGAGCAATAGAAAAGAAAGCATTAGCCAGGTCCAGCACAGAGTTGGCTGGTCCATGAGATCATGCACTGCGGGAATGGCTGCATACAGGGAAGGCACCACTCTGTTCCATTCTTGGTAATCCACAGGCATTCTCCACGTGCCCTCAGGCTTCTTCAATGGTCACACTGGAGAGTTAAAGGGGTGGGCTGGGGGCTATATTTTGCCTGCTTCCTCCACTTGCAAGACAGTAGCTCCAATTTTTTTTTTTTTAACTCAGGGGCACTCCACCACTGAACCACATCCCTAGCCCTTTTATTTTATTTTATTGAGAGACAGGATCTCACTGAGTTGCTTAGTGCCTTGACATTGCTGAGGCTGGCTTTGAACTCGTGCTCCTCCTGCCTCAGTCTCCTGAGTCGCTGGGATTTCAGACATGCACCACCATGCCCAGCACAGTAGCTCCAATTTCTGCATGTCCCCCATGAGGCAATACTGTTTCACTGTCACAGTCCTCCAGGGCTGTGGCAAGACCTGGGGCAGGTGTTTTGCATATCCTGTCATAACCGCCTTCACATCTCACACATGGAGGCAGAACTGCCACCAGGGTCTGCAGCAGTGGTCCTTGGAACACATCTCTACCCAAGATATACTCTGGGATACCAGACACTTGTACCGTATATGCTCACAGGGGCAAATGACCTATCCCCCGTGGTAAGGACACTGGCTTTACCTTGATGGTCTGTCCCCCATAGCCAACAATATGAGCATATGGACCTGGGAATTTATCCAGGTTGCCAAACACCAAGCTGCACTCAGCTCCAGGACCCGCCCCCCAACAAGGCCAATTCCCTCTGCATATAGTTTGGAGACCATGGATAGCAAGCTCCACATGTGGCTATCAGCCCCCACCTATATCCGCAGGGCAGGCACCTTAGCTGGATTTCTAGATGTACTGGACCAAAGTCCCTTTGTCCCTCTTAGAAGCAGCCAAGTAGTCTTTCAGTTATATAGGTGGCTTATTCACCTCTGCTGTTCGCAGATTTTGCTGCTTTGGGCACAGTTGCTCAGGGAGGACTGCATTGGGCTGATTGCCTGTCTTCTGGTGATCTAACCCTGCTGTCAGGAGACCTGCCCACATATGCATACAAGTGATCTAGCAGGCCCTTTTTTCCTTTGTTTACCTTGTTTCCAGACCCCTCTCATTGTATCCCCCTCCTTTTTTTTTTTTTTTTTTTGGTACTGGGAATTCAACTCAGGGGCACTCAACCACTGAGCCACATCCCAGCCTTATTTAGTATTTTATTTAGAGGCAGAGTCTCACCAAGTTGCTTAGGGCCTTGCCATTGCTGGGGCTGACTTTGAACTCACAATCCTCCTGCCGCAGCCTCCCGAGCCACTGAGATTACAGGCGTGCGCCACCATGCCAGGCTACTCTGTGCATTTTTTTACTGCCCTCTGCCCTCCTTGGCTTCCCCCAAGCTAGCCATCATAGTACCAACTTCATTAATGGGACACCCAACATATGGGGCTAAAGTAACCATCAAAGTAGAGGGTGGAGCATTCTGCAAATCCAAGTCTCTAATGCCACCAGTAAACCTTTCACCATCTGGTCCCTGTGTATTCAGATTAAATATCACCTGACGCATGCCACGCTCTTATAGGATCTGCACCAAATCAGCACACGACTGCCACTTACTTACTGGCCTCAGTCCACACAGTTCGCACAGCTGCATAAATCCAGTCTATTGGGGAGCGATTCCATTTCCAGGCCTGCAACTGTTCTGCGATGGCTGTCTCTGGGAAGGGTGGGTGGTGATGGATGCCAGGTGCTCCATCTTCTCTGGACCAGCAGACCATGCTGTCCACCCCTAGATCCTACAATAACAAAAACCACGCAGCCAGGCACTCCCTAGGCTGCTGGTGACACTGCTTGCCCAAGTCCACTTATTCTGCCTAGGTGTCTGGCCAGTATGTAGTGTACTCTGTAGCATTTGGCTCCCCCACTGCCTGACCTCCAGGGGTCTGGGGCTGCTCATGTCTCATCTTCTGCACTATAAGGTGGGCTTGCAGCCGGGGCTTCTCCTCAGACTCTTCTTCAGATTTTACTGTGACCTACAAGGTCGAGGTCCTGCCTGTTTCATATACATCAGCTTCCAAACTGCAAATGCGCTGCTTCAAGGCTTCCTGCTTCTCCTGGAGGGCCTGGAGTCTGGCAGCTTCTGGTGGAGCCTGGTCCGTGTTGGCTTTCAAAACAGGGAGAAAAATCCACCCCTCTTGTCCCGCTGCTTCCTGGGCAACACTGTCTTTTAAGCAGGAACTCAAAGTTTGCAAAGGTTCCTCTGCATTTACAGGTGACCCATCCACGGTATCCCAATTCTCCATAGGAGCCCATTTTAATATGACTGTGGTGACTACATACTACCCCTCGCCCCCCAAGGTCAATGTATCTCTTACCTGCGATGAAGCCTGCTGACTATGCCAATTGTCACACTGAATGCAAGGCTCAGGCCTGGGAAACAAGGTTTGGGAATCTGGAAGTTGAAAGAAGATGAGAGGCACTGTGGGAATATTGGTCATCCTTTATTGAAAGGTGGCAATTGATCCTAGCCAGACCCCTGAGCCATTTCCATAGGCCTTTTTTTATATAGAGGCCAAAGATGGCACACTGCTAACAGGTTACAGAAGCAGGTGTCTGCTCACAAGCAAATGTTTCTGACCTTGAGAACACACTAATCATGACATAGCTGATTCATGGCCTCAGTCACACATTAAAAGCATAACATGGCTCACTGGAAGCCTCAGCAAGGGAGCCTAACTATAGCCATTTGGGGCCTGCCCCAACATCACCTCTGACACTGTTACTTTAAGTTCTTAATGAGCAAAACAAAAAGTTGTAACCTTATGTTGGTTCCTAGTAGTACTTTGAGAATTTTAATGGTCTGTGCACCTATTTGACAGACCTGGAGCACTGATTGTCTGATGTTAAGGCTTCCAGTACAGAGGCTTAAAAAAAAAAGTGTTCCAGAACTTTCTTATCTGAGTGTGGCAGCCAGGATTGAATGGAGGCATACAAAGGAAATCAGAGAGAAAATTTTTCAAACTCAGAAGTAACCTTGTAGCTGGGTGCAATGGTGCACACCTGTAATCCCAGCAACTTGGGAGGCTAAGGCAATAGGATCACAAGTTTGAGGCCAGACTCAGCAATTTAGCAAAGTCCTAGGCAATTTAGTGAGACCCTGTCTCAAATCAAACAAACAAAACAGCTGGGGAAGTGGCTCAGTGATAAAGTGCCCCTGAGCTCAATCCCCAATACCAAAAAAAAAAAAAAAAAAAAAAACCTTTTTAAAATTAAGAGTCAGTTTTACTACAAAAAACTTGGATTTTAGTTTATTATAGAAGTGTTGAGAAGCCAGGAGTGGTGGCAAACACCTGTAATGCTGGTGGCTTGGAAGGCTGAGGTAAGAAGACCACAAGTTCAAAGTCAGTCTCAGCAATTTAGCAAGAACCTGACTCAAAAAAAAAAAAAACAAATTAAAAAGGGGGAGGGAGTTGTGGCTCTGTGATAAAGCACTTGCCTGGCCTCACACAAGTGAGGCCCTGGGTTTGATCCTCAGCACCACATATACATAAATAAAATAAAAGATCCATTGACAACTAAAAAAATATTGTTTATTTATTTTTTTTAAAGAGAGAGTGAGAGAATTTTTTTAATATTTATTTTTTAGTTCTCGGCGGACACAACATCTTTGTTGGTACGTTGGTGCTGAGGATCGAACCTGGCCGCACGCATGCCAGGCGAGTGCACTACCGCTTGAGCCACATCCCCAGCCCAAAAAAATATTTTTTAAAAAATTAAAAATAAAGTACAAAATAGGCTGTGGATGTGGTGTTCAGTGTTCAGTGGTGTCCAGCTCCTGGGTTCAATCACTGATACCAAAAAAAAAAAAAAGTGTTGAAAAATTATTTTCACTACATCCTCACCTGGTTGAGTTTCAGGTTTAAAAGTTTAAGGGTCAGTTGGCATCGTGGTGCACGCTTGTGATCCCAGCAGCTAGGGAGGCTGAGACAGGAGAATGGCGAAGCACTAAGCAGCTCAGTGAGACCCTGTCTCTAAATAAAATCTAACATAGGCTTGGGGATGTGGCTCAGTGGGGTCAAGTGCCCCGAGTTCAATCCCCGGAAAAAAAAGTTTAAAGGGTAAAACTTAATTAAAAGCAAGTCAGTAATATTTTTTTTTTCTTTTTAACTTTTCTGTAGTTGTAAACGGACAGCATACCTTTATTTTGTTTATTTTAATGAGGTGCTAAGGAGCGAACCCAGAGCCTCACGCATGCGCTCAGGCATTGAGCTACAGATCCAGCCCACTCATGTCAGTAATTCTTAAAATTTAAAAATAATTGATTGGCTTTGAAATGAAACAGTATAAGTCAAAAAGCTCTTACCTTCACTTAATTTTTTTTCTTTTGTTGTTGTTGTAGATGGACAGAAAGCCTTTATTTGTTTATTTTTATGTGGTGCTGAGGATCGGACCCAGTACCTCACATTGCTAGGCAAGCACTCTGCCACTGAGCCACATCCCGAGCCCTATTTTGTATTTTATTTAGAGACAGGGTATCACTGAGTTGCTTAGCGCCTGGCTCTTATTGAGGCTGACTTTGAGCTTGAGATCTCCTGTCTCAGCCTCCGGACCACCTACACTTCTTAATAGAAAAAAATAATTCCCTGTATAGGACTTACTACATATCCCAAGATGCAGGAGAAACTACATTTCCCACGATGCCTTAGTACAGGAAGGAAGTGAGAGGAGACCTCTTCCCGTCATTGCATATAGACCGGAAGCCCGGTATTTAGTTCTCTTTCCCATCTTGCAAGGTAAGGAAGGCGGCTCTCTTGGAAAGACCGAATTTCAAGACCTCAATCCTTCGCCATCCGAAACCCGAGGACGTTAAGTCGACACCTACAGGGGTCGAGCATGCTCAGGGTCAACTGAGAGGGCTTCCAGACGCTTTATTTCTTTGACCTGGATTGGCGGCGGGTAGAGAAGAGTGAGGTGGAATGCGGTGGAGGCTCCGGCTGTTCCCCACGCTCTGGGGCTGGGGAACCGGGGTCCCTGTGGGCTGCCGGAGCAAGCTGATGGGGCCAGAGGGACGGGGCAACAGCGTGTGCTCCGGCGTTCTGAGCCCGGGTCACAAAATACGCTGCTGAACTAGTCTCAGCCACGTTGAGGTTTGAGGCTGAAGCCGGTTGCTCCCGCGTCTTCCCCCACGTCCCTGACCGGAAGTTTCTTAGTCGTGGAGCCTATGTCTTCGGGAATGACCCGAGTTTGGGCTGTCATTTCCCTAAACCGAATTTGTTGAATTGAGCTAGTGGTCTTAAGACTTGGGAGCAAAGATTTTTGAAAGCAAACGATTTCAAGCTCTGTACTCGCCGCTTCCGAACTTTGCAAATTTTATTGAAGACTCTCCTAAGTTTTTAAGTTTGCAAAACAGTAATACTAAA